ACACAGAAATTGTATTTATCTTAAAAATATCATTAGAATAATAAAAATGATATTTTTATTTCAAACAGAATGTTTGAAATAAAAAAAAAAAAAAAATATTACCTGTACTGTATCTTGTGTATACAACTATAAATAATAGCTGTCTCATTACGGGCTTCGAATGAAAAAATTCAACGAAATAAAAAAAAAAACGTTTCTCCCTCTTGACTCCCTAATTATAGCTATTGTATTTTCTTTCCGTATCACTAAGGTAACAAACAAATTTCAATTTTTGTACCAAAAATACCAAAAACCCTGTGTAATAAGACTTTATATTTTACGGTTTGAATTTCGGAAATCCGGCGACGAGGTACACGTAAATCCTTTCATCCGCTTTTGTATGCAATTTATCAGATCTCTGCATGTGACTTTCGCCTGGGTCACACACGCAGACAAATAAATATAGAAATACTTGCATTAATTAACCTACTAACCCAACTCTTATTACGAATAATAATATTATAAAATCAACAAAAATAATAATACAGTCTATTAAAATAGGATTAATTTTGTGATATTATTAATTTTTATAAAATATTTGTTATAATTACAAACTAAAAGTGTTTTAGAATCAAAACGCACATGTTACGAAAATAAAAAAAAAAAATAAATAATATTTTTATTCGATAACAAAATTGGCGGTTTTCTAATATTAATTATTAAAAAACAAATCAAAAATTGGGATTTTTTATTCTTCGACACAAAGTTGAATATTTAGAGAAAACGCATAAGAGACTGTCTACGAAATGTTTTTATTTACAAACTTTAAGACATAATAATACGGATATGTTCATCTCCAGAATCATTCCAGGTACATAATATACTTTTTACTATTTTGCGTGACCTCGCTTTCAAACTAATATAAAGACAATAAAAAATATTCACTTATTGTGGTAATGATATTCGGGACTATACATAGTTGTGAAGATATTTGAAAGTGTTTAATTTTAATTTTTAAACTCTGAGTTTAGCAAGGAATATTTTGGATTTACTATGATGTGAATTTTGTTTAATTTTTTTTGTTGTTGTTGTCTGTGAGCACTTTTCTACCAGAAATCTTGCTCCAATCAAAAAATGAGAAAAGTTCAAATTTTGACGAAAATCGTGAAAATCACGGCATTTTAAAACGTGTTCAACGAAACTTCACTCAGAATCGTAAGGTAATAATTTATTGTCACGTACAAATATAAATTAAAAAACTCTATGTATCTTACCTTCCCAACTGCCCACCAATAACAGTTACACGTCCATCGCAGTATTAGTTCTCGTTTTTTGTTTTGAGTTGATAGGTTTTTTTTATACAATCAATGTGATTGGTTTAATAATACTAATAACATGTTGTAACATTTTAACATTTTGACATATGCCAATGGGTTCAGCGATATAATCTGTCAAGATACGTAAAAATATGGTTGGTTTTATTTTTTATTTTTAACTACAGCAAAACTAACGATTTACCAATTCTAAACGCAAAAATATTACATACCTACATTGAGCAAACGTCGACATATGCTGCTTACGAGTATTGGCTAGATTCGTATACAAATATATATTGTTACATTACTCGTACGATTTTATTTCATCAGAATGTTAACGAAATCAGACCTGCATCGACATTTTTTATTGAATTTTAGATTCGTTAAACAAATCCAACGTAAAAAAAAATAAAATAAAAAAGTTAAAGTATCTATACCTATACCGAAAGAAAACAATAACATTAAATTTAAAGAACAACAAGGTAAACATTGTAAACATTATTTAATACTAATGTACGACACTATATGATGACATGATCGAGTATAATATGTAGCGAAATTTGAAAACACTAACGAATTTAAAAACAATATGTGAAAATTCAACGAGAAAACGAGCGAGTTTAACGATTATTTACGAGTATAAAACATAAAAAATAATCTACCGTGTACACCGAAACGGTGTTAAATTAAATATGAACATAACGATTTATAAAAAAACACGGTATGAAAAATATTACTGGAACTACGACTATTGTCATGTTCCATGTTATACTTGTATAATATAAACAGACAAATAAAATTAGAATACCGGCTGTAAACGCAGAATTGATTCCGAGAAAAAAAATAACGGTTGGGGGAGGTGCTATTTTCAAAATCCATTCATGATAAATATTTTAATCTTTTATTCTATCTTAGAGAGTGATAAGACAATTTAATGGTTTTTTTTTTTTTTTATGGAACATAAAATCATGTTTTCACCCCGAAATTACACCGATATCTTTTTTTGTAGTGGGACTATCGCACTTGAGTAAACAGTATACTATAACAGCTATATAATGTATAAACGCATATTCATATTGTAATCGCCCACGCAAGAATCTCCGTCATAGAAAATAACCAAGTAGATTAGTTTCTACAATATCCGTTTATTGGCAAGATCCAATGACAGTAAATCAGACAATTTTAAAATTCAAATCCGAAATCTATTTTACACAAAATGTCAAACATCGAACGTTCGCGACATTTATCACTGTAGTATCATATTTGTTTACCCGGTGCTTCTTTAGGAGATTTTTATTTTTAAAACCGTATAATATACGGTAATAGTAGTAGGTACCTAGCCAATTTTGTGTACATAAATATACGTAAATCATGTCAAATACGTACCTATTATTAGATTTTAAACGCGAAACGGATATTGCGCACGCGTAGGTATTCGTATACATTATATTTTAATATTATAATAATATTAATAAATTGTTTTATGACCAAAAAAAAAAAAATTTTAATTTTAACTGTCTGCGAAAAAAAATATAAATACACATAACTCGTTTCGTTCAAAATGCTATGTCTATTATTGATTTTTTTTTATCCCATATCACGAGAGCTGCTAACTTCCGGCTGTCTTTGCGCATTGCACTGCGTCCATAGGTTAGGTTAAGTAAGGTTATCAAAAAAAAAAATTAAAATAAAATAAATACCCAGAAATCAATTAAAACAAATTAAACGTTCCGTGTTCCCATCCTGTGCTTCCAGTCCGCGCCCGCTCACTACTTACCTCTTACCGCCTCGGTATGTTTTCTAGATTAATGCAATTATATTATTGAAATTTGATTGAAATTGCTCTCTGCGTATAGCGTGGGCTTACGAATACCATGACAACCTAATTTTCGTCGTGTCATTGCGGACATAATATTATGTCTTTGAACCGCGAGTCGATCTGCAGAAATCGACGGACGAATAACGCGAAAAATGTCGAGCATTCTTAAATAATACAATAAAAATATGAATTATTTAAATTTAAAAATATCGCTTCGTTGTCTTATCGAGAACCCCTTATGTACAGATCTGTGGAAGTCATTAACGATTTTCATCAAAATTTGAGTTTAAAATATTTATAAAAAAAAGTCTACTTTTTTTCTTTATTACTGAAATAACAATACAAAACACTTATGCTGAACTTCATTCTAAATTTCAAACATTTCTGCTTGACCAAAGCAATGTTTTCCACATTCTTCTTAACAGCTTAGAGAGCCGCCATATAGTTCCATCGCTGCAGCGACTATATACTTTCATCTGTTCTACCTTATGTGAAGATGCACATTATCGTAGATATTTTCTGAGTGTTTTTCCACAATGTCCTTTCATCTTGTTCGGGGCTTTCCGAGCGATATATTCATCTTACTGTCATTCGTTTGATTGTTTTTCATCTACTTTTCATGTCTGGTCAAATCACTCTTTCCTTTTGCCTCTACTTTACAGTAAGTTTTTGGATTTCCCATAAATATTTTGTTAATCAAATTATTTACATAAAAATAAACAGGTAATAAAAGTTCACACAATACAGCATACAAAATGTATATTTAAAATTTTTAAAGAATTTGATAACCTAGTTTATTATGCCTAAAACCTTAATAAAATAAATATCTTAATTTGCAAATATTTGTAATAGTTAACGGGATACATTTGAAATTCATAAGGTCGGTATTTATATTTTGGTACCAATTGTTTAATATTGTAAGTGTAAATTTATACTGAATATTCATATTTTATGAAACCCATATAAACTTTCTTGAATAAACAAATTTAAGTGAGTTCAGAACAAATTTCCAATATACTTCATTGCTAAAATTCCTAATGATTGCACAATTACTTACCATAACTGAACACTTTAGGAAATTGGTAAATATCAACTCTTCGAATTTAAGACAACATATACGTATGTTTAGAAGTTAATTTCGTTTAAAATATATTACAGCATTCGTCTGTTGTAATGACCTATAAAAGAACTTTAATATTTGTCATTACACTTAAGGTGCAATACGAATAGGTAAGTTGCAAATGTACTTATGCCTTCGAAGGAACATGTATCTCAATAAAGATAAATAAAATTAAAAAACAACCTCCCACCCCATCAACTAAACAAAATTCACAACCAGACCAAGAGAGTTTTCTGGTACAAAGATTTTTTGTAGTCTAACAATAGATTCCTCGTCGATACGCTCAGAATCTAAATTATGCGCTATTATCAAAACACCTGTACAAAGTATGCAAATCGAAATTTTTAGATTGGAAATGTATTGGTATTTTAAAACGGACTCGCATCAAATCAGATTATCACTTTATAGTTTACAGTGCACTTAAGGTGAATATATATTATTATATAAAACACTTGGCAGCACTCTCGGGCTATTTATTAGTAAAAAAAAAAACGCGTGGTATTGTAGTGAAATTATATTATTTTCTCATATCAAGTAAATCTGTATGCGTATAAATGTATTATTATTTAACAAGCCTTCTCTTTATCTCCATCTTTATCCTTTATTTAAGTTGTGAGTTTTTTACATTTTTTTTTCTGTTAAAATAAAATTACCAGTACAAATACAAATAGGTGAACCTTTGTTCAATTATTTTTAACTCACATTATTCTTGTTACTATTGTAATACTCGTAGTTTAAGTGCTGATGCGTATTGTTGTTTTTTTCCCCCCTCGCACAAATAAAATATATACATAGGTACGTACTCAAAAAACAAAGTATATCGAGTGCAGACAAAAATACACACTACAGAGTATAGATGATATTATTGTACAGAGCTAAAGTATACCTATATTGGAAGGGTACATTGAATTTTCGCAAGTTTTTCTTTAAAGAGGAAGAGAGATTTCGTATCAAATTTGTATATATTTTCGGGCATAATTTTTAGATTTTGTATTTCAATTTACAATGGAGGCAACAAGTGTTAAAAACTCTTAAAACTGAAAAAAAAAAGCTGATACTGCTGATGATGAGTGTGTTACCGTTATAATAGGTGGCAAGTCAGAAATGAAGGTATGATACATAAAGTTATTGAATTTATACCTGTAGGCAATAATAAATCATTGCTGACGAAATACGATTCTCAGCGATGTTCGGTTATACGTGTTTTGGAAATACCGTATTAGTATAGTACTGTATATAACCAATGTAAATAGATTGAAAAAAAAACTCCCCGTAATATTACGAACGGTATACAGTATACACCCAAGACGTTTGAACCAAAGAGAAGTCGTTCACAAACGACTATAATGACGAGTGTATTATACGAGATTTTTATTAGGTGTTTATACGCACGACGCGTTCATTTAAACATAATCGGAAACGCTATAATAATGGGTGTATTATAGTATACTCGTTCGTATTACACTTTCGGGACGCGTAAAATGTGTTCACGCAAGCGAGTACGGCGATAATTTACCGCCGTTATATTATTATTATAGTTTCTGTCAAATAGCACACTGACAGAGTTTTTAAATAAAATAAATATATAATACCACGAAAACCCCTATTAATACTTAATAACGAAATGTACTGTAGAATACGATAATATGTACACCGTTTTCCCCATTCCAAATTGTATTTACCGACTCGACAAAAAGCCTGTTTGTTCTATAGGACAGGAAACCGAACGCTTTTTCTTTTTTAAAAATACTCGTCAGATACACGCAGAGTCATATTTTTTTATTTTTTTTTTTTAGTGTTGGGCTAGGGGAGGAGGTTAGGTTGGATATCGTCAAGAATAAAATACATCCACACTGCTGCAAAAAATGATCTTGAGTAACGATACGATAACGATATGATTTGTTCATGGTTAATATTATAAGAATACAATTTTAAACATACAAACGTGTATTTCACGATAAATTGGTACTCTTGGTACAGATCCAGGAAGGGGATCGATCACCCGTAACCTCCCTCAAATACGCCCAATATTTAAGGGGCTCTGTATAGAAGGAATTTGAACATACATTTAAAAGAAAAATAAATGAATATTAATCGACGCAAATTCACATTCAATAATAAATTCAAGAACGGTCAGGAGTAGGTCTTAATTGAATTTAAAACCTGCAAGTTCACGAAAAATAGAAGGCAAAGTGTAATTAATATAGTTTCGAAAATAATGAATGACAGCAACATTATAAACATTGATTAAATGTACTCTAGCACAGTGGTTCTCAACTGGGGTGAAATATCACGTTAGGGTGACATGAACCCAGTGTAAAGGTTACACGAAATCATCGTGGGTAAAAAAAAAATAAGAAAACTTTTAAATTTTCAGAATATTATCATATTATGCCATGTAAATGTAACCACTAACTAATATCGTAGGTTACGATATGGTTTACGGTATTCATTTCGAGACTTTGTGTCATTCATTTAATTATAAATTTTCAATTTGAATACGCCAAGCCACCGAGAAAAAAACGTATTAATTGTATTATTTAACCTTATTACCGATTGTTTCCAATGTTATCCAATATCCATAATATTAAAATATGTAAATAACATGCAAATACGCGCGCTTTACGCAAACTCTAAAATCAATGAAAAAAAAAATATATGAATATTCCAGGAATACTATACTCAGATAATGATGAATAATATCCAGATGATTGATACCTACAGACTTTGATTTGTTTTATATTTTTAATTTCTAAAAAAACTACTGAACTATAGTGTTCTACAAATACCGACATATATACTATTTTTAAATTTATACCAGATATTTTATAGTTTTTAATCGTTTTTTTTTCTTCTACAAAGCTAGATTTGCCGACAAGGAACGTATCAAAACATACTATAATATACCCGCCTAATAAATATAGTCAATAAATTATTATTTCTAAATAAATGACACTGCCATATCTCGGATTAATAACTTTTACTGACGATTAGTAACGTACGATACTTATTGCATAATACAGTCTTCTATTTATTGGAATTCAAATTCGGTCGTTTAAAAATGTAGAAAAAAAAAACCGCCATAATGTTTAAAACTCGCAGATATACGATAATATTCAAAATTGTTGAACAGTGACGTGGCTGTATAGAATGAGGTTAGGTTAGGGGGTTTATGACCACCCGAAATGTCTCAGCCAACTATAATTTTTGAGTGTTTAAAATAAGTAGGTGTTTTAATTTTATTAGATAAAATATGATTTAACGCACCTTTAAATATAATATACAAACACGATTAAATTTTCCAATTGTATTAATTTATGAAAAATCTACTTTTTATATGAACGACTGACGAGACGATTGCGAAATTAACAACTTTACCCCGTGCCGAATTTGTTGTTTTTTGTTAAAAGCAATCGTTGTTATTCGAGTCTTTATACTAATAAATATTAACCACGTCGTGGCCATACGGTATAGTTATACGTAGGTACACGTATATTATACTTATGGTGTATACAAAACTTTGTAATAAATGTTTTTCCATTCTAAATCTACATTTACACGTATATATATATATATATATACGTTTATTGTTTACGCGTCGTGCAAGAAGCGAGTAAAAAAGAAAAACGTACGTAACAAGTGTAATACAAGCGCGTATGTCAAACCCAGAGACAGAGATGATATTGACGTACTTACATTTTGTTATTGTTTAATATACATTTAATATCGTTCGTATCCAATCGGATTATCCGGTTTTTGTTTGGCGGCGTTTCAATGTAACGCGCGTTGGCGAAATATACAATCGTCTCAATTTGCATAAACGCTTATTGAACGCGTATATTCCCGATATTATATTTGTATTTTAAACATTCCGGTTACAATATGTTTTATTGATAACAGAAATCTTTGTTGCGTAAATAGTCTCATATCTCCAACCCTCATCATCCCTCCCCAATCGTTATTAAGAATTTATACTCTTAAATGTAAAAAAAAAAAAAACGAATGCTATCTAATACAATCAAATACTACATGTGTCATACTATTCTCCGATAACACTATGTTCTCTGACTATTGTTAATGTTAGTATTTACACCTTTTTTACTTCTGCAAAATGTTTTAATTATTCTCATTATTAACCAAACAATAACTCAATATTTAATGCAATTAAACATAATCCATAGTGATGTAGATTACTAATTTTAATCATATAATTTGTATCCAAAAGCTTGTCAGTTTCATTCATCAAGAGATTGAAATTATATATTGATTGTTGTAGTGTTTTAAAATTTGACACCTATAATTTTAATAATTTTGTAGAAATTCTTGATTATTTTAATTTTTTAATTTTAATTATTACTGTGTCTAGATTCATCAGGTTAATTTTTGGATAGAAATTTGTAAAAAATTTGATGTTACTAGTATTGTGATAAACTTATACGATTTACATTCATTAGGTATAACGCCAGGTCTTTTCTAACTTCCTACCTATAACAGTAGAGCACCCATTCATAGTATACATTTTTTATTTTTTTTAATAGTTAACGTTATAATAATATATAATATATTTATCAATTTTTTGAATATTCTTAGCGAGTTTACAATAAACTCTATTGAGTTTTCAATCTTGTTTTCCCGATTCTAATATCGTTGTTAATTTCTATTTTCACCACTTAATCATTAGGAAAAACTTTTCAAATTATTTGTCTAAATAGTGACTTTTTAATAGATATTTCATTCTAAAAATAACATTAATGCATGTATGATAAAAATGAAATCGGTTATTATTAACAAATAATTCATCAGTAAGGCAAAATGTTTTTTTTTTCTACCGATGAAGTGGTAAAAATTAAAATTTTAGTATTCTCTAAATCGTGTTTCACCGACACAAAGTCCGAATGAAAAATTTAAACAAACTATAATATTAACAGAAATATTAAAGCACAATTTTATTTTAGGGAAAACACATTAGAACGCCCTGTCTCAATATACCAGCGTGGTTTTTAATGACTATTTTGCTGTACGAAAATATTTAGTGACTTTTCGTATACTACAGTAATTTGGTTTGCGATTAAATTACAGATAAATCAACTACACTATTATCGTGAACTTAATACTATGGTAAAATATAATACAATCATCAGATATAACGAGGCGTTATGTATAGGCAATTTCGGTACATGGCTGTATACTCCATCAACCTGTTAAAAATGGATACAATATTTTATTATTATTTTCCCGTTACCGTTGTAGTTAAAAAGAAAAGTTTACCGTACTTACGACGGGGATTGACCGAGTATTTACGTTCGAAAACAGTTGTTCACAGTCTTTAAAATATGCTCGTTGTTTCTTGAAAAAAAAAACCCTTACTTATTATAAGAGTTTTTCTGGCCCTTAACTACAACATCACAATTATTTTGTTTTACATTCTAAACAAACGAAAGTAATGTAGTAAATTTCACAAACAACGTAAACGATGGAATTGAAATGTAAGTGATAATTTAATGCTACCCATTGATGGGTGATCGTGCCGCCACAGAAGAATGACTAGTGTCACTGATAAATACATTCTCTTAATGACTCAAATTACTTAAATCAAATTAATAATAACTATCATATGATATGTACATACAGATATTTTTCTCTGCAGTAGATTAGATTGTTGTCGACAAACGCTATCACTATAATAATATAATACATACTATGTTGAGTTCTTTGAAAGTTTATTGAATCGGTACAGAGTGAATCTTTTATCATTGAATACTCATTATTTCGCAAATTATAAACTTTAAAAAAAAAGAAAATAATAATAATAATAATTTGATAATTTCAAAAACAAGCAGATCTAAAATGTTACGTTATCGTTTTTTTTTTTTTTTGTCACCCTTATCTTTGGCGGTAAAACGACAACCAACTTTTGATTTTCAAACGGTAGCCCATAATAAAATTTCCACATATAGATAGAATATTGGTTTCAATAAATGTTGGTGTTACAATTTTGGGTTTCTGTTAACCCGTCCGTGAGTTACTTTACTTTAAGGTTTAAGTAGTAAGAAAATAGTGGAGCACTATTCATAGGTCGTACACCGTGCCGCTATACAAACGATACCCCATATTCTACCATTGATTTAACTTCGTAATTTTTTTAATATTTTTTTTTTTTTTTTTCAATGCAGATATTGAAATATTTAAAGATATATATATATATCTACGTATTTTTTTAAGATTTTAATATTGATAATACCGGTAATGTTGATTTACAATGTCGCAATGGCGCAGTTATATATTTCAGTAGATTAACCTAAACTAAAGTATTGAAAAGACGTGTAGGTTTCCACGTAATGTTCTTCAGGAAGAAAATTTTACTGAACCGTCACCTAGTAAAAATACTTAAAATACTCAAAATGTTCGTGCATTTTTCATACTATCGACGTATATAATATAGAACCGGAAAATTAACACTTCTCGGAACGGCAAAGATATACACGTACATACAAATTGGTATCATGCAAATCAATCAAAACATACCATATAAGAAATAGCACATTGGCAACTTTTTTTCTGTATTTTATTATATAATTTACTTAATGAAATCAAACGACGTTATGCATATTGTTTGGCCGAGAGTAATCCGTTCAAACACTTTCTCGTTCGTTTGGGTCGTTACAGGTCATCAGGCCCAGAATGTCACACGATCTCCAAGTAGAGTGATTAATTTGGAAAATTAATAATTGAACCTCTCTTCATTATTTCTTATTCTCGAAAATTTTAATCGATTTCGATATACGAAAAATTAATAATAATACATTCTATCATGATCTCATCATGAGAATAGATAAATCGGTGTTTTGACAGTCGAACGCGTTGCGTCGAAGCGTTTTCCAAGAAATAAGTATTTTAAAATAATAATATAATAAAAATAGTTATATAAAAAAAAAAAATTATTGTACTATTATTATTAACAATATGTTCGCGAAAATTCTAAAATAGCAAAATATATTAATAAAGAAATGTCGTTAATTTCTGTTTGAAATTTCGCAAATTTATCATAAATCAAAAAGTTGTTGGTATAACATTTGTATTTATATACCTAATCATAATATCACAGACCAGATGTATTTTAAACACATTTTCTCTGTGATTTTTCAATTTTTCTCTTTTGCGTTTATTATGCTTTCACACCGATTTATATTTATCAGAAATTCAACTAAAGGCAAAGAAATATTAAACTGTCCATGGTATCCATGACCATCGGACTATAAATAATGTATCAATATATCTTCAGCTTCGAGGTCCATCGTTTCTCCGCGCAAATTTTCCATTATTCTCTATCGTTTGCTTTTTTATTCGGATTATTGACTTTAATATAGTACCTGTAAATCTGAAGCCCATCAATCCGTTTTTCAGTCCACCCAGTGGTCTTTTTATCTCCTGATTTCTATTCTAGTGCATCATCTATCACTATGATATTCGACCTCCAAAATATATATGTCTTTGTCAACTCATTATTCTTCGTTTAAATGTCTGGTTTATTACTAAGTATAAAGTATTTAATTTATTAATAGGTGTAATATTATTTTATTTTCATGGTTTTCCAACGCTTAAACATTCAACGGCGTTATAAAAATATATTATAAGTATTTATCAACGGTCGTTTAAACGAATTATTATCATCGTAATTTTATGGTACCTATACGAGAGTAGTTAACACCACCTACGCACTAATATTTTGATATGTAGGTAACTCATCAATGATATCAACCCAAAAAGTAAAACCCATCACTAAATGCGTAACTCGTCGGCATTTAATTCTAGTAATAAACTATATATAATGATTACATATATTTTGTATAGTTTTTTAATATAATATATACTGTGTAATTTATTAAGATTAAATATGACGCTCGCCTCATTTGTATGGTTGTGCATAAATCAAAATTCTGATTTTTGGAATTATTAATCGTATAGTTAACACTAATACTTTCGAATACATAGATTATCCATAGCATTTAAGGAGTATCCTAAAATAATATCAAATTTGGTTTTTCAAATGAGAATCTATAAAAAAAAAATTCAATAAATAGATGCCGAAGTATTAGTTTAAATAAATTTTGGTAATGATATTTTTGATATCCGTCAACCCGTTGCCACGGTGAAACACTATGAAAACACCGCTAGCCGTGCCGGCACGCAAATGATTCTTTTTAGACTGGTATTTTTACCATTTTTTAAAAAGAATAACTCAGAAACTTTCATCTGGTTTACAATTTGCATTAAAACATGTAGGTTCTCATATGAAAATCAAAAATCGACCGCATAATATTCTGTAAATGTTATGAAGAATATCGGTTTCAACTACACTTGAAAATTCCAAAAATCAGAAATCGAATGTATGCAAAAATTACCGATACAAATGCGTTGAGCGTGATTATTGAATCGACCAGTAGGTATTATATATATATTTTTAAACAAAATTCATTAATAATCGTTATTATTTTTGTAATTTATTCCTACTCACATTTTACTAGGTATAGGTTAGGTCCATTAAAATAATATTCCCGTTTAGATGTTTTTCAATTTGTTAAATCCAAACGGGTTCATTTATGCGTCTCCTTTGAAAATCTCCCTTTAATCATGACAATTTTCAAACAATGTACCTTTATAATAATATTATAATCAAACTGGCGATACGCTGTAATGTTTTTAAGCCTTAACCAGATATAAATGACCGTGCAATTAATTGGCATTTAGTAAATGTTTTTACCTGCTTCGGATATAGGTGGTTTTTTTTTTGTCACTCACTCGATTTCGCAAACGATTTATATCAGTATAGGATGACTATACGTGGTCTAAAGGTTTTCGACATACGCACGTTTGCTTTTATATACTTGGCTACACCTGCAGAAATATCCCTAGGGCTTTGTGTATAAATGGGTTCGAAGTGGTAACATTTGAGTGTTCCATTAGATAGGTACCTATCTATTAAAATCTTGATGCCTTTTAAACGAGCAATACTAAACATATTATTTAAATTCCAGATAATTTAACGATTATTGTAATCAAAATGTTGATCGAACTTATACATCGTGAATGTAAATGCTTCTGTTATATTTATTATGTTTGTTAATCAATCACGTAAATACGGTTCGACGGATTTAAATGAAATTTAGCTCACAGATATAATTATATTGCATAATGAAAAAGTGTAAGGCCACCGAAAAAATGTCCATTTTTGATTTGGCCATTATTATCGCAACTATCATACTAGGATTACGAGCCTTACTATTTATTCCGAAATTCAACCTTCAGGAGGTTGAAGGGGTTCCACGTGCTTAGCTTTCGGTATTTTAATACGGAAATCGAAGTTTTTTTTTTTTAATTCTGTATTATTTTGATTAAACAGCTAAAATGAAAAACAGTTATTATAATATTTATTTTAGTTATCACGGGCCCTTTTAAAAAGGATTAAAAGATTAGGATGAATAAAATAAACTACAATCGGGGCCACTACTCGGCCAACTATTTCTGTTAAGAATGTATAAATATCGTTTCGTTGGTTTTCGATTATTTGTCACTCATTTGGCACTTAATATACTATTAAACTGGTCATTATTTCGAATTTTAAAGTACAATCATAAAATGTTGTTTGAATTTGTTTAAACCAACATATTAGGTATATTATATACTTATAAACTTTTTTGCATAGGTTGCATATACCTGTGTAATATATTTAAATGTTGTTTAATCTGGTTTTATTGCACATCAATTAATCGCTACTGCTTTGTTAGTTTAAATGGAACAATTTCAACCGCCTTAATATACGGAATAAATACAACGGTTTCCTTATATAGTGACTTACTATTCTGAGAATAAAGTCAGTCGGCCGCGAATAAGAGTTGCTTTATAACTGAATATATTTGCATACAAAGAATAATACATGTCGCAACAATGACGGTTCGTCGGCAATAATCTTTATGAGAATTTTTATTGCTTTTGTTTTTTGCGGTTTAGAAACACTACGAAAACTGAAACCCAACAGAGGGCCACCGCGTGATTTTCATAGTACGAGACTATGGGGGTCGTCATTAAATATAATACGTGTAATCTTATATAATATAAATTTTAAAGTCTGTTTATTTGTCTTTTATACAAAATACATGTATTTACAGTTTTATTCCGTTCTTAATGAAATTTAGCGTACTTGCGAATATATTGACCTTCGAAACTGGGTAAAAGTCTTCGGCCACTTTTAATCCCCGAATTTGACTCCAAAAGGTTGTGGTTCACCCAAGATTTTGATTCTTGAAGAGATTTTATATCTGAGTTACCTTAGTGACACGGATCCCGCGATTATTTATAAATTGGAATGGGATACGCCACACAGTAAGATAAAATTATATTTTTTAACTTGCTAAAAATAATTTACTTGTTGAATATATTATACAATTACGACTTTTCAAACTTCGTAATATGTATATCTGTATAAAGTTAAAATATTTATTATATTGAAATTACAAATATAATCAAAATTATTTTAATACAAATTATTTGTCTTTTGTTTTCAATCTTTTCAATCATCACTGTTTACTTCGTTCATATTAAAACTTTAAACGAGTATAGGGACTTGGTTTTACAGTGATGTTTATTAATTTTTTTTTTTTTTTTGTTCTAGTCTGTGGACACGTTTTTTCCTAGTAAACTTGCTCCGATTTTTGCCTATAGTAACTTTTCTGTAAGCTCAAAATGTTTTAACTGTACTTTAAAGAGGTCATTTTTTTAATTTTCGAGGCCATTTTTCAAATAAAAGCACTTAAGTGAGAAAAAGCATAAGAAAGCGTACAATTTCACAATTGTTTTATTTTATAGGAACACGGACGACGTTTCCTACAAGAAAAAATGATTTAATTACAAGACACTTTTTTTGTTGTCTTTTTGATTTACTTTCTTATGGTATCATCGCCAACATTTTTTAGCCACTTTTGAGATTTAAAGAACTTTAATTTTGTAATTTAATGCAATTATAAATACACGTAAAGACTTGAAACTTTATAATAATACTTTTATTGGACTTGCCTACACGTGGTAAAATTTCCAAAATCATCAGATAACTTTTTTTTTTAATAAGTGTTTTGAAATCAAATTTAAATGAAAATTGCAAAAAAAAATTACGGAATTTCAAATTATGTATTATCAAACTGCGCTTGGAATCGTCATTCATCAGCAATAGTTTATCATTGCTTACAGATATAAATGAAATAACCTTATTTATTCTAACTTCCCAACTTTCCAACTACAACAATGACCGTTTCGATCCCTAGTAGCAGCTCTTTTTTGTTGTAATTTTGTTTAAAAATATTTGTAGAAACTTAAAATTTTGACAGAAAATTTGTATTTGCCTTTTCCAGTGGTACAATTTTAAAATATTTTATTGATTTTTGAGCTATTTATAAGTATTGTAGTAGTGCAGAATTATTCAAACGCCATGCACCGTGCTACCACACAAATTATACTCCGTCTGCTCTTCCATGCCCAAAATTAGAAATTAGAATATCTCGTCAACTAGTTGACGGAAATCAAAAATGTTGACACCAATATGTATTAAATCTAAAACTGAATCTATTTATGGCCTTTTTCATATAGTCTATAAATTGCTATTTGAAAATCCAAAGTGTGTGGAGGTTTCAGAGCCAAAAATAAAGGTGACAACTATAGGAAGAAATATTTAACTATATTATGATTAAAAAGAAATGTGTATAGTCATTTTTATTAAAAGTATTTCATGGACAATTTTACTAGGATACGAAATTCTGCAAGCCCTATAATATGTATAGTGCAATTGTTAATTGTACGGATAGACCTTGTAAATCGTTGTTAAAATAAAATCAACATAAGTTATAAAAAAAAAACAAATTCGCCGCGCGGCGAAACAGTGAACCCGACAATTTGCTTGGGGAAAAAACCTACAAAGAAATTAAGTACATATTAAGTATAAAATATACATATATTATAATACGTAATGAGTAATTTTTTGGTAAATAACAAATCGCATCGTCTTCAAGTACTTCTTCAACACAAAGCATAACATAATACAACATAAAATATTAAATATTTAACAAAAATTCAATTACAAGAATATATTATGTGCAACGTATATTAATACTGACCTCGCATATCACATCACTCCTTTCCATTTTCAAACCGTCGTTTCCGTGTTTAAATCATCGTCCATTTCACTTGCCATAAAATTGTTGTTATTGATATTATAACCTCGACAATAAATTCGTATTAAAGCAATATCATGTTTTCAATAAATCAATATTCATGTGTGGGCTTTCGTCAATGCCTTAATCAGGAGGAGGGCGTTGAAAAAACGTACCCTTTTAACCGATATTTCCTTTTTATTAGTTATTTAGGTTATCTATTTTGGTGTATTTTGCGTTTCTTGAAAATAGTAGGTAATGAGACATATTATTTTTATTTTTTTCAATTTGTGTTAATTCTTTGGACACCTTGGCGATATTGAGAAAAACACGGTTTAATGTACTACTCTGATCAGAAAAGTTCTTCATTTGCAACGATTTATCATTAAGCATAGTTTATAAACTAAATTATTACATAATTTATATCCTACTTTTCCAGTTACCCGCCTACAACAGTGCAAAGTGTGGTATAATGTCCGGGTTTTTTTTTCAATTATTGATTGAATAAACCGAACGAGAATTTATGTATATATTCAGCGATAAAAGTTAAATTAAAATAGTATACAAATAACTGCAGGAGTTTTATTCAAATTTAGGGTGAGATATACGACCTCCAATTTTGTAAACTGAGATCACTCGGTCCGTAATATTTAATAAGGAACTAATACATTTTTAGTTTTGTTTTGATATACTTTACTACGTTTTTACGGTTACATATCGTAAAGGTATCGTCAAAACATAATGTATTACTTATTAATGGATAAAATAATAAGCGAAAACATTTGAAGTTGGTAATCTTGATAAATGGAGTCGGCAAATAAATATATTTATAATCATTCCCCTCTGTTAAATTTTGTTAACGCCAGCTCTTTATTCCACGTGTGCATTAAACGAATATACTATATGTTCACTACTAAATATTGGACGTTAGATTTATATTAGTTGCCATAAAATATTCACCGCATACTTAACAAAATAATTTCAAACCTGGACGAATTGCGGAGAAACTTTGTTTCATAAACATCATATTGTTATAACATTATTATATAGGTAGGTAACTTAAAATTAAATTACATTACCGTATAATTTTCTTCAAGTTTCAACAGTGTTATTTCAACACCGCCATACATTTATCAAAAGATTTCAAAAGTTTATCACGGCTCATTAACGTAAGCAATGAAGAATTACGGCCTCCAAAACACAACATGTTTAAAACTGATGCAAAAATATGATCGTCCTATAATAATATTATTCGAATTATTATAATAAGTTTCACTATCATCTAAAGCCATGGCCTCTGAATATATATTGGCTTGAATGGATGAGTGAACATGGATACTAGTATATGATAGAATATTATAATTGTATTTTGTGATCTGTTTAGTCTGTATTATAAATTAACTAATAGTATAATCTATACAAGTGACTTTGGGAAATCTCCAACCTGGAATCTGGTTATAAGTTAAAAACACGCAATTTTACAATTTGGTGGAGTTAACAATACATTTTCATGAGGCTAAAGAAAAAAATAAGGGATCCTCACTTCCATCACGGGGGCCCATTAGCGAAGGCCAAGGGACACATATTACCCTGAAAAATAATAAAAGCCTTGAAAAATGAGATCGAATCGTGTTTATTTATATTTTTGAGAAAAATTGTCTTTTTCAAAACGTTTTGGCGATTTGTGATCTATATTTTGTATTTGACATTTTTTAAGTTTTAGTATTTGGTTTCATGTGGACGAAATCTGAAATACTGAAATACTAGGTAAAATTGTTATTCGATAACTTTATGATAAACAAAATAGAAAAATCGACATTATGAAATCAAAAGTTCTTGGTGGCGCTGCCCGACAAAAAAGAAAAGAACAGAAAAAACCATCCTATAGACTAATAAAAAAATTAATAGATTTTTGGTAATAATAAATAAAAACATGGTAAGTTTAGTGATTAATTTATTAAAATGTAAATTTTATACATATTATTTAAAATTTAAAAATCATGAACAAATCACAATAAGAACGTTATATATGATATTTTATTTTATTTCAATTTTTAAATGAAAATGTGTTTGCAATCTGATTATCTGAGGGTATCTTAATTTTGATATGTAATTGTTTTTAATCATATAGATGAAAATGTAAACTCTACTTATGAAAATGATGCGGAAAGTTCTACTCTTTTTGGCAATTAAATTTAAGATAAATTAAAATTTAAGCCAAGAAATATACAGTATTAGTATTATATTTATTTTTAATTTGTGAATGTATTTAATTATATAATTTATAAAAGTTAATTCTACCTGTGAAAATGCAGCGGAAAGTGCTATATATTTTCGTAATTATATTTAACATTAAAAGTTAATTTTATCAAAATATTGAGATATTTATAAAATGTATATATGTTTAGGTCTAAATTTTGAAGCAAATAATAGCAAACATAAACAATATGTTGACTTTATATCACCAGACTGCAAATAAAGTATTGAAGTAAAGAAAGCTTTTTTGAACCGACATCCTATACAACAATTAAAATTAAATGGAAAAGAAACCTTTTAACTCAAATAAGCAACATTATTGAACACTTTTTAATGGTGAAAAGATTATTAAGAAATCGTTATCTTATTCTCATATTTTAAATAAAATATTTTGTTCAGGCTGTATGGTATTTTCTGATAAAATTTCAAATGAATCAGCATTCGTAAAATGTTACATAATTAATTTTAAACATATTTTTAAAGTTGCTAAAGGGTATGAGAATTCAAAAACTCATCAACAATCAATATCAGCTGTCCTTCAATGTTCAATGAGCAAATAAATTACCAACATTAATAAACTTTAACATGGCATTTAAAAATTTAAAGGAAATTGAGCAAAGGAGGTTGGTTATTAAAAGACTTATAGATATAATTTTTGTAATCGGGCATAAAGGGTTATCATTTAGAAGTAAATAAAAAGATTGCCACTCATTGAATATAAAAAGAAAACATAGCAATTTTTTAGAATTATTGTTATTGCTTGCTGACTATAACAGTGTACTTAGTGAACATTTAAATAAATGTATTTTAAAAAATAATAAAAATAAAAAGTTGCAGTTATGGTCTAATTAGATATAGTTATTAGGTAGATTTTTTTTAAAAATTGTGTGTGAACGTCTTTTAAAACTTGTTGTTGTCAACGATTCAAGTGGTAAAACATTACATGAACTACTGAAATCAAGTTTTGAAAAATATGGTATACCTATATCTAAAATAGCTGCTTTTTCTTTCGATGGTGCCGCAACATGTAAGGGAATTACAATGGCCTTAAAGCTCATATGACTTATGATAATCCAAATTTAATATATAGTCATTGTATGGCTCATGTGCTTAATTTGGTCATAGAGGATTCAACTGAGAGCTGTTTATTGGCCGAAAATCTTTATGGATTATTGGAAGAAACTGCTGTATTTTTATCAAACTCTCATAAAAGAATATACATTCTTTCTTTTTATCTGGAAAACACAAACTAATAAAGTATATTTTTATTGCCTTTATATGTTTATGATAGAGGTATTTATATTGTAATATATTTTACCAAATTACAGGAGAACAACACAAAACACATGCTAAACTGTATCGCATTCGAAAAATTTGTGAAACTCGTGAGTGGAGTAAACATAAGGCACTCGCATCTATTATTGACCCAGAAGAAGATGTTTTAGAGTCATGTAAATTTTGCAATTTTCATCTGTTTCTGGTAGAAGTTATAGGTGGTAGTTTTGATAGTAAGACTAAATTTACGGCTCATACACTGTTAGAAACGTGGAGTCAATTTCAAACATCATTTGCAGCCATGATAATTTTAAATTTATTTTCTATTACTTCCCCTGTATCTAAGTTTTTACAGTCGTATGCATTGGATTATTTAAGAGCATAGAAATGTGTTAAAAATTTACTTCAACTTATTTCTTATTTTAAATTAACGACAAAATATGGATTATTCAACACACTGTACATAGCATTTAAATATGTCCTTATACTTCCATGCACCCAAATTAAGTATAAAAGAGTATTCTCAAAACTCAACATTTTAATAATCAAACTTCGTTCCTTGATTAGCCAACAATATTTTGATCCTTTAACATGCCTATTTGTTGAAGAAGACTTGATTGAATTTATAAACAAAGATGAAATTATAAATATATTAGGATCTTCCAATAATGAGTTAAAAAAATTACTGTTTTAGTTAAAGTATTTAAATTGTATTACAAATGTTAATTAAAATTGTTTACAATATGGTAAAAGTATACTGTACAATTTCTAAATAAAATATATTAAGACATTAAGTGTACAAATGTAAAATATATTGTTAAAAATATAACATAAAAATAACTCTGTTTATTATGATTTAAATTTTTATAATTATGACAAAAAAGTTAGAAGTAATTATTTTTAATTATTAATCACTGTAATTTTATAAGCAGTTTTTATTTTATTTTTTTTTTAAGTCAAAATTAAGTTTGTGAGGAACCATTGTAAATCACTGCGCAGGTGGCCCAATCATGAACCAGACCGACACTGAATTCGTTAACAATGATTTATCGTTTCTTTCAGATAGAACTTAAATAACTTTATGTATCCTACCTTCCCAACTATTTTTTTCATGTGTTTATAATTTTTTTTTTTTTTTAATAGTAATTTGTTGTTTATAAAGAATATATAGCTATATAAACTACAATGTTTTTTTCGAGATAAATAACGCGAGCAGATAGATGCGGTAAATATCCGTTATGTTTCAATAAAATAAAATATGTTATTAACTGAATAACACGGAGAAAAAAATATGAGGTATATACCGAATGATTGATTGAAAGTAAATCTATTATATTATACATTATAAAGTTAACCGAGCCCGAGAAAAAATGATATCTCACCGCGTGACGAAAAATAAAAAAAGTAAAGAAAAACGCGCATGTTGGCACGTTAACTACCAATAAAACTGACATTAAATTCGAAGAGGTGAAAAAACGCTTCTTTACCTACTTTATAAATGACAAAAGTTCGCAAACTGAAAAACTTCTAGGGTTTCTAAAAGCGATAATAGTCGACGGTAAGCCGCATCATGGCGATAGGTTTACTTTTTTTTTTTTATCTCAATTATTTCTCTTTATAATATATTATAACTGTTTAATTAGTATCGAATTCGCATGCAAATATCATATTATTGAATAATGTTTTGTTATTATCAATATTTATTAGTTATTATAAAAAGGTACCATTGCTATTAATACGACAACGGACTCATTTAAAAATTAACCACGACATTGTAATCTAAGTAATTTATATCCATTTGCGTAAATTGACTTAAATTTCTGATGATTTTTATGATTTTCTAGTGGTGCAAAATATAAACTTGCATCACCACATTTCAAATGTGGTGGTGAAATTGCTACATTTGCACCACCCAATTTACAATACTGTTTATACCTACCTTTTATAAAAGTAGTAATATAATATTTACTCTTAACATATACGTAGCGAATATTAATTTCGAAACAAAAAAACTAATTTATCGAATTATTTTTATAACATTCACAATGAACTTTAATATCTCCGAGGTCATGAAAAAAACGTCTTTGTTTAATATAATCAGTTACTTTAAAAATACAAATTCTTGAAGGGCAGATTTTACCATAATCTATATGCTTTACCTACTATAATATTAGTATAGTATTTGATTTATGTTAAAAAGGGATTTTTAATTCCGTTTCAAAAAGTTGTATGAAGTTTTTAACTTTTTCATCGTTGTTCATTTATTATAATATTTAAACTCTAAATCGGATGACGAGTCTCAATACTTTGGATTCTGAATTCTGTTGGTGATCCGTCGCAAAAAAAATCATTCGTTTTGCATTAATATAGTACTTTGATTATAATATTCGGTTATTATTTTCAGGCGTAGCAAGTACTTTTTTTTTTTTAATGCGATTTTTAAATCGACAGTAATGGGAAATCTTCATTAACATTACTACATCACTACTGTCATCATTTATCAAATAGTTCAAATGCAGCTTTATGCAGGAGTTCGCTGACTGACCTACTGTGTCCCTTATCATTAATACAAAGGTGAATATAGTTAGGTAATGTACTGTAAGGTGGTAGTAGGTACCTATTTTCATATAAGTCATAGTAGGTGCCACCCATTTTCACGCTACTGAACATGAATAAAAATTATTATATTATCGGAGAGATTAATGTTTGACGTTTCCGATTCTTCTGTAAGATATCTTAATGAAATGCCAACGAAATACAATTTAAACAAATTAAAAAAATCAATAGCTTTGAAAAGATAATTAAATTTCTGAATAATCGTGTTTCAATATTACTTTAAACCTATATAGCTACATATTATTATCGTTTAACTCTAGTTGTATACAACTACTTTAAGTAAATGAAAGGTTAAAGTAAAAAAATATATCGATTTAAATTGTCGATGAACTCGTTATGGATTACTCAAAATGCAAGTAAAACTCTTTAAATAGAAAATATTTGCAAATTGAATAAAGCATGTCAGGCCTGTACGCAAGAGAGTGGAGAATCAAAACCCCTATTACTTTTTTAGATGTATTTGATTTACTATGATGTGTGTGTTTTTTTAGATTCCGAACGTAGCGAGAGAGCTATTGGTTTTACAATGTTATATATTATTATTTTTTTTTTTTTTTGTTCTAGTATATGGACAAGTTTTTTCCTAGTAAATTTGCTCCGACGTATAAACTGTAGCACCTTTTCTGTAAGCTCAAGATGTCTAGATTGTACATTAAAATGGTCATTTTTTAAAAATGTTTTAAATAAAAGCACTTAGTGAGTAAAAACGTAGGAAAACGTACAATTTCATTATTTTATAAAAACACGTTTTCTACCAGAAAAAATAATTTAATCGAAAAATCAGAAGAAACCTTTTTTGTCGCTTTTTTAATTTGCTTTCTTACTGTATCAAAACTTTTAAACCACTTTTGAGCTTTTAAAGAATTGTAATTTTTGGAAGTTTTTTGATGTAATTCGGTTATGAAAATACGTAGAGACTTTAAACTTGGTAATAATACTTATATTGGACTTACCTAGACGTGATAAAATTCCTAAAATCATCGGACGACTTTTTTCCATTTTTTAACTTTTTTACATTATTACTTTATTTACTTTATTTTTCATACTGTAAACCACTTTTATCCTAGAAAACTTGCTCAAATGTATAAGTGTAGAACCTTTTCTCAAAGTTAATTTTATCTACTTGGTAAATACACGAGTCATTTTTCGATTTTCGAAACGAAATTTAAAATAAAAACGATTATAATAATAAACATATAATATATAATATAATAAAAATAATAATGAACCGCGATTTTAAGTACCTACCACGTTTTGTAGCACAAATATGGCTCCAATTCAAAAATGACAAGAAGCTCTTTTTGTTGAATTATTAATCTTGTTTTTAATTATGGAGGTCGTTTTTGGATTTTCGAATTAGTTTTCATAATATTCGGGAAAAACGTAGAAAGATTAGGTTGAAAAACATTACGGCACTTCAAATTATATATTACCAAATTGCGCTCGGAATCGTCTTTCGTCAGCTATGGTTTATCGTTACTTGCAGATATAAAGGTAATAATAATAGCCTTATGTATCCTACCTTCCAACTTCTCACCTACAATAGTGGCCGCACCCGTTCCCAGTATCGGCTCTTATTTATGTGTTTTTTTGTTTCTATCTTTGAACAACTTTTCTACCAAAAATCTTGCTCCGATATATCAAGTGTAGTACCTTTTCTGACATAAAATTTGATCTAGTTAGTGCATTCAAGATTTTAAATTTTCCAAGAAGTTTTCATAGTAATTGGAATAACCTAAAAAAAAATATCGGAATATAATTACGGCTCACCGTGGTGTTACCGATTTTATTGTTCTTAATTATTACGAATTATGTTTTCTACCAGAAATATTTTTTATACAAAAAATGTCAAAATACTTTTTTTGTTGAAATTTGGATCTAATTGCTGACAAAGTAAGTTTTTTTTTGTTTTCCAGGCAGTTTTCATAGTAATTGGGAAAACCGGAAATAGATGTAAAATGAAAACGAACAAATTTTGGCGTATGATTTCGATATTTTAAATTTGTACATATTATGTTTTCTAAAATAAAAATTAATCATCAATACATAGTACCAAAGTTTAATATGTATATCCTGTCAACTCTTAATAATTTGAAATTTTCGGCAATTTGAAGTAATTACCTTGAAAATGTAACGGTAAAATAGAATAATCAATAACTTTCAACGTATTCTAGCAAACCAGTACATACATTAGTTTTGCATAATCTTTAGTGGTATATTCGGTTGCATATATAGATACCGTAATATTCGCGTTTAAAAGTTATTTACGAATTTGCGAATAATGAAAGTTGTAAGTAGATAAAATTATTAGGTACCTACATAGAAGATTTTCGAAAACAGTATCGTTATAAGGCAAACAAAGCACCTAAACAACTATTACATAGGAAACGACGGGATAGATTAAATAAATAAAACCGTTCTATATACAACCGACGTAAATGTAAAAACTATATATTTACGTTTACAAAGTTGCGACGGTTATAGAACAAACGGATAATAAAAAGTACATATGTACTTGGTTCGTTATGTGAGTACAAAACACCTAATCTGGTATAGGAAATTACTTATGTATTAACATCGCCGACATCGTCACCCATAGAAATGTTGATTTTACCGATAGATTTTTTTTTTTTTTTTAACTACCCCGACCGAAAATTGTTTAGGTTATTTTTTTTTTTTAATTGTGCAATTTCTATACATAAGTAACCCATGGCTGAAATATGCCATTTCAAAATAAACACTCATGATCGTTTTATATTTAAGCAAATG